AGGTGTCAGGTCCCAGAGGCAATGCATTGCATTATTGTTATTGTTATGATGGTGGTGAAATAAAAGGAAATAAAAAGTGAAAGAAGGAAGCAAACAGGGAGGGAAGAAAGGCAAAAGAAGAAAGGGGGAGGGAATGAAGGAAAGAGAGAAGGATGAAACCAAGTAGTGAAAGAAGGAAAGAAAGAAAGAGGTAGAGAAGGAAGAAAGAAGAGAAAGGGGGAGGAAAAGGGGGAAGGAATAGGTAGGGACCTCTCTTTCATAATAGTCCAGATATCTACCTCAACTTTGATAAGTTTTACTATAGGCCACAGCAACGCGTGGCAGGGTACAGCTAGTGATTCTATGATTCTATGAAATGGCCCTGAATCCTTCCAGTGATACTTTCCTCTTGAAGAAACCGAGAGGAGTGTGATGAGAATCATGGACCCTATGCTGCTCACATGAAATTGATCTAAATAAAAAATATGACAAACATCTTTGATTTTTAATTTATTTATTTATTTATTTATTTATTTATTTTATTTCGTATACTTCTACCCCGCCCTTCTCAACCCCCGAGGGGGGACTCAGGGCGGCTTACAAAAAGGCACATCTTGGTGCCCGCACAAATACAATAACATATAAAAACAGGCAATTAAATGGTCAACAATTAAAACAATTAAAACAACAATATATCTCACAATCAATAGCCCATCTCAGACACAGCGTTCGCCAACTCAGAGTTCATGTTTCGTTCCACATTGTTCATTCCTATCCATTGTCACAGTCCTTTATTCATCTGCCAGATTGCCCAAACGCCTGGTCCCACATCCATGTTTTTAATTTCTTTCTGAAGGAAAGGAGGGATGTTGCTGATCTAATTTCCCCGGGGAGTGAATTCCATAGGTGAGGAGCCACCACTGAGAAGGCCCTGCTCCTCGCCCCCACCAATCTCACTTGTGACAGAGGCAGGGCCGAGAGCAGGGCCTCCCCAGACGATCTCATACTCCGAGGTGGGACATAAAGGGAGATGCGTTCAGACAGATACGCTGGACTGGAACCGTGTTTTCATTCCTGAAACACAAGAAGACCTCTGTTATTTCAATCAAACAATGCCAAGTTTGGCCATGTTCTGGAGGCAATTTTTCTCCTGACGTTTCGCCTGCATCTATGGCAAGCATCCCCAGAGGTAATGAGGTCATAATGACCTCATTACCTCTGAGGATGCTTGCCATAGATGCAGGCGAAACGTCAGGAGAAAAATTGCCTCCAGAACATGGCCATATAGCCCGGAAAAACCTACAACAACCCATGGATTCCGGCCATGAAAGCCTTCGACAATACAATGCCAAGTTTGACAGAATGACAAGCTGATCGAGTAAAGATCAGCTTCATATAGTTGTATGTCCAGTCTCATTGCAGACTGGATATACAGTCCGCAATGGGTAATTTGGGTAATTTTATGTTCAGCTTGCATAACAGTCTTTCTTTCTATGTCCAGACGATACTTCCCCAATAGACTCTTTATCAAGCACACTGGAACTTATTTCCACAGCCATTATTACTGACCAAAAACTGCAACAAAACCACACCAGACACTTCAAAGTGTCCACAGCCTGTCACTCAGTCTGCCTTGTCCTATAAATGTGAAGAGTTTAGGCTCATCTCTCCATCCTGCAAGCTTCTGAGAGACTCCACTTGGCTATTTCCCTGAGAACCAGGTCCATATTTCAGCCATGAAGGTCCTTGCCATCCTTTTAGCTGTCCTGTTCATGGTGTCCATGGCTTCTGCGGGTAAGGAGACCTTTCAAAGCAAGCTAAACGGATTTTTGAGGAAATGTGTGTCAATGTCAAATGTATTTATTCAGTTTACCAGTTAGCCAGCCAGATTTGTCCCCTTTTGAGATCTTCCATCCATCCCACTACGTAAAACACACCTTGTTCATGTATCTTTGCTGTATTTTGATTTTTATCTTCTTATATTCCCTTCCCCTGACTGTTTGCAGTGTTGAAAAGCTTGACCTAACATCCTGAATATTTCCAGCTCTCTCATGATTCTGAATGGCCCCAGGACAGCTGCTATTTACAATTGTCCCTTGCTTTGAGAAAGAGCGAAGAAGAGAAGAACAGTAGCTCTTGATCAATAGAAGGCCGGATTTCTAATTCTAATTCTTTCTTTTGTTATAGCACTGGCTCCACCAAAGACTCCTGCTGAATGCGAGAACATTGGAGGCAAATGCATTGCTCCAACTTGCGGAAATGGCATGAAAAAAATTGGGAAGTGTGATAACAATGGGAGTTGGTGCTGCAAAAATGGGTAAGAACATTATCAAGGCATATGGTTTTCTTGTTAGGGTCCATTTCTATTTCTTTTCCTCTGATTCCCTGATATAAGAACTCTTTCTGGTTTTCATAGGATTGCAGGTTAGAGTTTGGAATATTCAAGTTTTAAAAAGAATTCAATAATAGTAAACATTAATAACAGGAAAATTGATTCATGGCCACCAACACTGCTAACTAATCCCTTCTGATTAACTCGTTAATATAGACACTTGCTAGTCACCTCAGCAAGCGAGAGTCCAAAAGTGGCAGGCTAGAACCCAGAACCTCAATCAATGGCTGATACCAAATGAGATTGTTCCCCTCCTGGGCACACAGAAGACCGGGCAATTTGGGAGGCACTGACTGTGCTCTGGCACCATGAGATGCAGAGCCAACCTTTGTAACTTTGGGGTTACAAAGTGGTGTCCATGACATGCAAACGACAGACCACCTACTACACTGCAGGCTGAGCCCTGCCACATGCACAATGGAGACTTCCTTATAGCAACACCAGAGGCACTCCAAGTGGCCAGCTACTGGTCAAAGGACATTTAATAGAATCCCAAGTTTGCAAACTTTGTGGGGGGTTTTGGGTTTTTTTTTTATACAATACAACCATCTGGTTCGCTCCTAATACGATAAATAAATGAACTCATTAATAAAACATTGGACCCTAGACCAGATTTACCGAGGGCTTTCTCTTTCCTGTTTCTTAACTTTTCTATCTTCTTTGATTTAATTCATTCTACATCTGCTTTACTATTCTTCTCTTTTAGATTAGATAAGGATTTTTTATTATAATAGAAACCTTTCTTGTATTAGATAACTACAGAAGGAAAAGATAACATAAGATGTTAAAATGTCCCTAGGTGAAGGTAAAGCTTTCGCCTTAAGTTTAGTAGCAGGTTTGAATCCACTGGTTAGATGCCTGACATTAAGGTTAGTAGCAGGTTTGAATCCACAGGTTCGAATCCGGGGAGTGGTATGAGCTCCCACTGTCAGCCCCAGCTTCTGCCAACCTAGCAGTTCGAAATCATGCAAATGTGAGTAGATCAATAGGTACCGCTCGGGCATGAAGGTAATGGTGCTCCATGCAGTCATGCCAGCCACATGACCTTGGAGGTATCTATGGACACAACCCGCTCCTCAGCTTAGAAATGGAGATGAGCACCAACCCCCAGAGTCAGACACAACTGGGCTTAATGTCAGGGGAAAACTTTTACCTTTACTATGGGCTATTTGTCTAATTTTGTTGAAACACTGGATATTATTGTGTTTTTCCCCTTTTTTACAGGTAATGTCATGGTGCTGCCTACTCGCAGTGGATACTGGGCTCTTCCATGCCATGCGCATACATGATTCCAAACTCTTCGCTTCATCTGTATGCCATAGTCATTACTTGCTCGCTTTCAAATCTTTAATATAGCTGATTGATCTCTCTCTCATTACTTATGTCTGTACTCATTAAAATCCCTCCATGCATTTGAATTATATATTTTGAAGCATGTCTTTATGTCTTGGGGTAGTATTGACAGAAATTCGAGAGGTGTGCTTTCAAAATCCTTTGCAAAAACATCTGGGCCAGATTACTACTGACATCTTATGTATGTGCAATCTCCGCAGTGGATTCCCCTAAGACAGTGGTTCTCAACCTTCCTAATGCCGTGACCCCTTAATACAGTCCCTCATGTTGTGGTGACCCCCAACCATAATATTGTTTTAGTTGCTACTTCATAACAGTCATTTTACTACTGTTATAAATCATAATGTAAATATCTGATATGCAGGATGCATTTTCATTCACTGGACCAAACTGGGCACAAATACCCAATACACCCACATGTGAATGCTAGTGGGGTTGGGGGAGGATTGATTTTGTGATTTGGGAGTTGTAGTTGCTGGGATTTATAGTTTACTTATAATCAAAGAGCATTCCGAACTCCGCCAGAGATGGATTTGAACCAAACTTGGTTCCCATGACCAATGGAAAACACTGGAAGGGTTTGATGGGCATTGACCTTGAGTTTGGGAGTTGTAGTTCACCTATATCCAGAGAGCACTGTGGACTCATGCAATGATGGATCTGGACCAAACTTGGCATGAATACTCAAACTTGGCATGAATAGTTGCTGGGATTTATAGTTCACCTGAAATTGAGAATTTAGGGGTCTTTGCCAGGAGGCAGAGACCAATTAGACTCATCAAAGAGTTCTTTTTCCCTAGCGAGACAGAGAAGCATCCAATATTTTTCCCTGATTTTCCCAATGAAAGGTCTCACCAAGTTGAAGAAAAGCCATCGAGGTTTATTAGCGATTCAGCTGAAAAGAATGCAGAGCAGCAATCATTCGCCAAGCAGAGCATAACGAAATACAAAATAAATGCCATTTTTATAGAAATACAGAGTTATGTGGTTCAAACCTCCCACTCCTGCCCTTCAAGATGATTGGTCGACACATTAACAGCTGGGGAGGAGGCTCGTTGTTTATAAGAATTGTTTAAAGCTACAGGCAATGCAGTCGCTGTTGCCCATTTTTGGTCTAAAACTATCTAGCAGCTTGTGATCCCTTTATTTTATCAGTTTTAGATAAACTATTTTATGCAATGCTTTTGACACCAAATAAAATAAAGACTTGTGCAGTGGGCACAATAACTTGTAGACAACTTGGAGGCACACAACAACAATAACCATGACAACAGACCAGTAGGATTCCATTTATTTTGACAGTTATTTAATAATTCACATCTATTTGCTCTGCCAGCATTTTATCTTACTCTTTTCTACAGCAGTAAGTGTCAGAAAAAACTTGGCATACAACTCTTGGTCCCGGTCTCTCATCTTCTGCACACTTGTTCCTACAGGTGCCACGGCAAAAAGGCATGGGGTCTTCTCCTGAGTATAGAAGAAAATAGGTTATATTCAAGTGGCACTTAAGAAGGATGCTCAGAAAGCTGTTAATTTCTTATCTCTTTCAAATAGCATAGGTTGTGGACCAAATTGAAAATAACAGGTCTGGTATGTTGCTTTCCCTTTGGAATCTGGCTGGGTTCCTCCTGATATAGTTTATCAAACTGAGGGCGATTATAGGAAGCATGTAATTCTCTTGTTGAAATAGCTTCCCTGGCTCATAATCAATTTCTGAGCACCATCCAAAATTCTAGTTATAACACACAGCTTCAGAGAGAGTTTTGTCTTCTTCTGAGGCAGAGAGAGTGTGACTTGACCAAGATCACCCAATAGGTTGCCATGTTTAACTGCAGATTTGAAACCTGGTCTCCAATATTTCAAACCACTACAGCAAACTGTTATCATCAGCTAATGCATAGGAAAATATACTTAAATGGCCCTTCTCTAGGATGTAGGTCTCTGTCTCTGAACCTTACCTGTGGCCTCCAGAAGGAAGGAAGAGAAGATGAGGATCCCAATGATGAAGCAGAAGCACTTCATGGTTGCTGAGATTTTCATGAATGTCTGAGATCCTCTAGAGATGGAGAGGGACCTTATTTATAGTTCTTGTTTATAGTTCACTGAAGGGTAAAACACCCTAGAAGGAAGTGGAAGAATATGAGATGCAGGCTTGTAAAGAAAGTGATGGCAATCAAAATCTAAAATCATTGAGGCAGGCCCGTAGCCAGGATTTCGTTTGGGGGGGGGTGAATTTTTTTCAGGGGGGGTTTCGGGGGGGGATGAGTTTTGGGGAGGCTGAGTCTGAGTGAAAGAGGGTCTACCCTAGCAAACCTTTTGTATCATTACCCCAATACCCCCATGCATATGGGATATATTGAGTATGGTGATCAGATCATGATATGAATAAACATAACAGTTTAAGTAATGCACCCGTTAGGCCTTTTCGCGAACCACCATGAGAATTTCGGGGGGGGGGCTGAAGCCCTCCGACCCCCCCCCCCCCCCCCCCCCCCCCCCCCCGCCCCGGCTACATGCCTGCATTGAGGTCATTCTCGTGTGATTTGTGCTTCTAGCATCAACCAATGCAGAGACCACTATTTTTGTTCTTATTTATTTATTTATCTATCATGTTAGGAGCAAACCAAACAGTTGTATTGCATTTTTAACAAACAAACAAACAAAACACAAAGTTTGCAAGCTTGGTAGTTGATTAAATGTCCTTTTGACCAGTAGCTGGCCACTTGGAGTGCCTCTGATGTTACTATAAGAAGGTCCTCCATTGTGCATGTAGCAGGGCTCAGATTGCATCGCAGCAGATGGTTTGTAGTTTGCTCTTCTCCATACTTGCATGTCGTGGATTCCACTTTGTGGCCCCATTTCTTGAGGTTGGCTCTGCATCTCGTGGTGCCAGAGCTCAGTCTGTTCAACGCCTTCCAAGTCGCCCAGTCTTCTGTGTGTCCAGGGGGGAGTCTCTCGTTTGGTATCAGCCATTGATTGAGGTTCTGGGTTTGAGCCTGCCACTTTTGGACTCTCGTTTGCTGAGGTGTTCCAGCAAGTGTCTCTGTAGATCTTAGAAAACTATTTCTTGATTTTTGTTCTACTATCAGTTAATCACAGAATATAGAGTGCAAGAATGTGTGTGTCAGAATTGTGTGGGGTAATGAAGAAAGACTAGTTTTTTTGCGCTGTAGGATGAATGGAAGTCTTGTCTAACCAAATGAAAATCACCAGCCCATACTACATGCACATCTCCATGTGTGATGGTGCTGCATGCTCAACTTCTGCAACTTTGAACTTAATGCAGATTCTTCACATCAGTCAAAAGCGATGCCTAGCAGAACTTGCAAATGCATAAGGCACCAACAAGTTTCAGCCGGATTATATCAGTCTCACTTCTATGACCATTTAAAACAAGAGTTGCTGTGAATGAGGTCCATTTTCTCCTTGACGGGCTGCACCAGTGAGTTTTAGTGCATCAAAAATGACTTGATGTCATTTCTGTGCAAAATTGTGACCAATTTTCAACTGATTTTTTCTCTTTTTTCTGTAGGTTTTGAGGGGTTGACATTGTTAGGGGAAGAAATCTACTCCACTTCAGGAATTTTAGGGGGAAATTGAGGATATTTAAGAGATAGAAATTGCCTTCAAGTCAGTCCATTGTGTGTCAATGGATTAAAGAGGCTGAGGTATCCCAAAGTGCCATACATAAAAGCCACACTTTTTCCACTCCTTTCTAAAATAATACTGTACAACATACCCAATTGTCAGGAGAGACAAGTGTTCATTCTTATACATTGGGAATCTGTCTCAACCCTGAAATCTATAATCTTTATCAAAGAGAATTAGAAAATACGAGCTCTCAAACTGAAATGCATGTACATGGAAGCTCCATACCCCACAATGGAATTAACAATACTCCCTTTAAACATCTCAGAAGGAAAAAAAAAACTCTGAGGAAACAGCAAGAACCAAGTATCTTAAGGAATAAGATGTCCCTTTGGATATCAACAATTCAAAACTTTATGGTGCAGTGAAGCATTTCGTTCTAGGTAAAGTCACAGTCCAGAGGAATGAAATGCTTTTCACTGGATTGAAACCAATCTGGATTTGTATCAGTCTGATGTTGAAGCATAGCATGACATCAAAAAGGAAGGCATCACTTAAATGTCACAATGGGATATGCTGCTTTCTTGCTGGGGTTGTACAGGGCTATGCTAGATTATGTAAGGAAGCATTACCTTGACTTAGCCTCTTCACCATTTCTGATCCTTATCCACCCACATTTATATGTGAGTTTCCAAAGGCATTTCTGGGACTGTGAACCATTGATAAACCTCTTTCCCATTGGTAAATCCACCTACATGTGTTGGGAAACTTCCTGGCTTCCATGATGAAATTGGAGCCATCAACTGAAATCAATTACTCACACCCCTCATGGGGATAGACCTTTAAAAGTACTTGTCCTTTAAGCTAACCAACTGCAGCTGTTCCTTTGTTCTGTAACTGGGGGAACTCCTGCAGCCAGTAACATCAAGAGGAATCTCCAACCAACAGGAGCCCAAACCCAACTGAGGCAGCTTCCTAGCCAATCAGGGGAGGCCGTGGGTATTTTGAATGGCTACGAAAATGGATAAAATGCTCTGTATGCCTTATGTTGGTTCTCTTGAGAGTCCAAAAGTGGCAGGCTCAAACCCAGAACCTCAACCTGGGCACACAGAGGACGGGGCGACTGAACAGACTGAGCTCTGGCACCACGAGATGCAGAGCCAACCTTAAGAAATGGGGCCACAAAGTGGAATCCTCGACATGCAAGTGAGGAGAGGAGCAAACCACTGACCACCTGCTGCAATGCAACCTGAGCCCAGCCACATGCACAATGGAGGACCTTCTTGCAGCAACACCAGAGGCACTCCAAGTGGCCAGATACTGGTCAAAGGACATTTAATCAACTACCAAACTCACAAATTTTGTATTCTGTATTTTGTATTTTTGTATTTTGTCTGTTTGTTTGCTTTGTTCTGTTAGAAATGTAATATAATTGACTGGTTGCTGATGACTCGATACATAAATGTTGGTTCTTTTGAGTGCACACTCTGTACTGACATCCTTTCTGGCCAGAAATAATAAAACTTCTGTTTGTTGCCTTCAAACTTGGTTCATGTCTTGATCTGGCCTTTAGAATAGTGAAGTAAGTTGGGCTCCAAACCCACATTTGGTAGTTAATTGACATCACTCAATGCTGACTCAGTGGGCAGATGAAGCTTTAGTGAGTGAAAATCTGCTTTTTAAATTGCAGCTTAAAACCAAGAGACTTGGAATCCTACTGCATGCTCTTGTAATTTGCCTCGTTCACACTCAAATACAGATCCTCAACATCTGTCCAGAGGACATAGAGTTCTTGAATCAAAGCCTAAATCCACAATCCCAGTGTCAGTAAGTCAGTGTCCATATTCAAAAAGATCAGTAAGTAACATTTTAACCAATTGCAAGACAGAATCCAAAGTACTTAAATCCAGTTCCAGCCCAAGGTCCACAAAGCTAATCACACAACGAGTTAATGATAACACCATCCAGCAAGAGGTTGCCTCCAGTAACACGACTACGAACTCATGAGTCTTTATGCAAAGACCATAGGTCAGTGGTTCTCAACTTGGGGTCCCCAGATGTTTTTGGCCTACAACTCCCAGAAATCCCAGCCAGTTGACCAGCTGTTAGGATTTCTGGAAAGCCAAAAACATCTTGGGACCCCAGGTTGAGAACCACTGCCATAGGTGTTGCTTGTGGATAGCCTGTTTCTCAGCTAATTATGCAGACCTGCATGTTTGAGCTTGTTCTCTGTGAAATTGCACATGAGAAGGAGCAGTTAACCCTTCAGCAGCCTGTCCTGGAGTGCTGACTTCTGCTTGCTCCTCCTGCTGAGATGTGGTAGCTACTGCTAAGGGTTCTCCTTGTGTAGCTACTACACACTGCTGTGCAAACTGCTGAAACTTATTGGGATTTAGTTCCAAATATTCACCCTCACTTCCAGCACTGAAAGGGACAGCTTGCGCAAGCCTGAAATTGCTCAAACAAGACTGATTAATGAGATGTGTGCACTATTATTATTATTAGTAGTAGTAGTAGTAGTAGTAGTAGTTTGGTGGGGATGAGAGACAGGGCCTTCTCAGTGGTGGCCCCTTGACTATGGAACACTCTTCCTAGGGACATTAGATCGGCCCCCTCCATTTTAACATTCCAGAAAAAGATTAAGACTTGGCTGTTTATGCAAACGTTTGCAAATGAAGTGTAACAGACATAGGAATATTGAATGACTGAATGATGAGATTGGACAACGTTTTTAACTAAGGGATGTAAATGATTTATGTTTTATTGATCTTGTATGGTTTTATATATTATATGTTAATGTTTTAAAATGTTTTATGGTGTTGTTGTGCATTGAATTGTTGTCTCTGTAAACCGTCCTGAGTCGCCTACGGGCTAAGAAGGGCGGTATACAAATATAGTAAATAAATAAATAAATAGTAGTTGGAAATACCAATTAGGATTTGGATCTGTAACTACTTCCTATACTTCATGAGTTCACTTTTTTGAGTAAATATTTCTCATTCTGAAACAATTATTAACTCATTAACTTGCTGCTGTCATTTTCTACTGATTGCCATTTGAGAAGCTCTTGCTGTTTCCCCAATTTGATCCTTGTGTGTTCAATAACATTTCCTTTGAGATCACTCTGTGCAAAATAAAGATCACATAAAAGCTAATGGCCCATTAAAGCAGACTATGTACTCAGTGGAATTTCCATTAGTATGAACTGCCATTCCAAAATATCCCATGGGTCAGATATTGCTGTGATAACTGAAGTGACAAGAACAGCTATTACTATTGCTACTTCCTCACTCCCAATTGGATTCAAGACAGATTTAATCAAATATTAAAAGAGATAAATAGAAATGGAGGCAGCTATTATGTCCCTGAATTGTAGAAGCTGGAAAGTTTATTCTCTATATGCGTGTCTCAGCATCAGATAGGACAATTGATGTACTTATTACCCTCTTTTCTCACCACCATTTTTATACCCTCCCCTCTTCTTAGAATGCCCATTAAAGGCAATTCAATTACTACTTCAAGAATTG